TATGTTTACGTTTTACTATGCAAAATTTATCAGCTTCAATTTCCCATGCTTTGCTTCATGTGCTTCTAGTATATGTAAACCCTGTTTAAGCATCTCTGTTTCACACCACAATTGACCATGAATGTTTCTTCACCAATACTTCTTTGACGTCTGCAAATCAACTCCAAGTAATCCAGCAAAGACATATGGTCGTGCAGGCGTTATTATTCATCGTCAACAACGACAAAGAAGACATAGGTTGGTGGGTCAAGCCATGGATTGAGAGGCGCATGTTATTTGGCCAGTATGAAATGCCGTATAACGGGTATTTTCTGCGGTTGGTAAATTTTTGCGATTTAACCTCTGAAAGGAACCAAATTAATTTTTGCGTTTTCAATTTCTGCGGTTGCACTATACCGCAAAAAATTATTTACGGGGTAAAGTATAGGATCATCAAACTCTAAGATTTATTACAACACTGCCATTATTACGTTTCCTATGCTAAAACAAACAGTTGTATAATCAACCACCCCAAAAATCACATGTGTCACATTGCATTGAGGCGTTACTAATACTGTCAGTCGTCTGATTTGAATGAAATTCACGGGACAATCAAACCATACAGTGTATTGTATTCACAAGCAGTAATTTTAATCACAGTCCCAAGACAATTCACAGGATTGAAAATGGAAAAAAAAAGATCGAAAGAAAAACTGCCCAACTGCTATCGGAGTTGCGATATCGACCGAATTTTCTCGCTAACGAAGACGAGTCCATGCTTGAGTTTGCAGAAGCACCACTTATTATACTTGCATGTATAAAATACCTGAAGTCATATTAAAAATATTTTGCGATTTTAATTTTTGCAGATTTGTTCCATCCGCAAAATTCCGCAAAAATTGGACAACCGCAGAAAATACCCGTTATACGGTATTGATGACGGAGATAGAGAGGGAGTGCAAAGGGGATTTTTTGAACTACATGAGAATGTGATAATGCCACCAGTCATGTTCCATGTGCTACTGTAGCGCATTACTCCAAGAATCCAAAACAAGTGAACGTTACAGACGACCACTAGCACTTAGGCCAAAGATGGTTATTAACATCAGGTATTTAGTGACAGGAAACAGCTACAAGAACCTCCAGTACATCCCAGAGGTGTCCCAAGCCATCATTCCATCGGCATCGAAAGCAAGTTTTTTGACTTGCCTAGATAGCCGAGCGGTCTAGCGCGCTGTTCCTGCATTGCTAGGAGACAGATTCCGAAGGTCGAGAGGGCGGAAGTGGGTATCCATGTCAAAGTGAATTTCTTTGTGCTTTCTATATTAATATTTGTTCACTTAGGGCAGTTATGTTAGTTCAAAAGTTGTTGTAAAATGTGCTAGCTATATATATATATATATAAATATATATATATATATATATATATATATATATATATATATATATATATATATATATATATATATATATATATATATATATATATATATACAGCGTTGTTAGAATTCCATCGGCATCGAAAGCAAGTTTTTAACTTGCCTAGATAGCCGAGCGGTCTAACGCGCTGTTCTGCACTGCTAGGAGACAGATTCCGTAGGTCAAGAGTTCAACCCCGGGCTGGGGTGGAAGTGAGTATCCTTGTAAAAGTGAATTTCTCTGTGCTTTATATATATATATATATATATATATATATATATATATATATATATATATATATATATATATATATATATATATATATATATATATATATATTCCCCTTCTCACTCGCACGATCATTCGTACCATGAAACGCATGATCGCACGAGCGCCTTACGTCCAATCGCATTGGTGCACGGTCAATCGCTCGATCACCTAATCACTCGCGCGATCTTTTTGCATTATCTTACAACACTCGCTTTTTATTGTACAACAGTCGCATATAGTCGCAAGATATATCGTAGGATTTAATGCACAACGGTCGCTTTAGATCATGCGAATTTCGTACGAATACTTTTTCATATGAGATTATTTCAACAACAGTTTACGATCCAAATAAAAGTGTTTCGGTCGCACGAATGTTTTGTCGCTTCTAATCGTACGCCAATTGTGAAGGGGCCTTTAGTTCTAAGTTTTCCTCAAAGAATTTACTTGGAATGTATTGAACTGGATTCCTGGTAAGCTTTCAGTTTACCTTTATTATAATTATTTTGTAAACGTACTTTATATTTCACTTTCATTTATTAGTCCTGCCAGCGAATAATCATATAATCTATGTGTTGTTAATGTTTGTTTCCAAATGTAAAGTGTTTGTCTTATGTGTCTTGTGTTGTGAGAGCGTGTTTGATTTTTACTTCGTAGGTTTATTTTCCTATAAGTACATTAATCAATATTTCTGTCGAACCCAGTGTTGGAGTTTTATTCCTACAAAAGACCCGATGACCCGATAAAATTTTCATAATTGATAAATTTAAAAACTAAAATTGCTTACTGACACAGTTTCCTTTTTTTAAATAGATATTAATATAATGCATTTGCATTATAAAATTTAAAACATCGAAGCCTCTTAGTCAAAATAAAACAATAAGTATACTTTCTATTGAAAAATGCAGGAATAAATATGATAAATTATACATAATTAATAGAATAGACCTTGAGTGATAAACCTTTACTTTCAGGCATTTTCCAAGCTCACAATTTTAATGGTTCAAGGTTAGAAAACTACATTTATTATGTTCCCCAAAACGAAGTTGGGGAACATATTGTTTCACTCTGTTTCTTATTATTATTTTTCTTCTTCCTGGGTACTTATTTGTCCGTGAATGATCTTGTAAACTAATCATCTGATGTAGGTAAAACCTTTTTAGGCTAAGTAAACATATTATGTAGATTTGCGGAATCAAGGTAATTTTGCGCGCACTTGCAACATGTAAAATGGCCAATATAATTGATATAGCCGTAACTTTTCTATTTTCTGATGAAATGTGTTGAAACTCAGAATATAAGAATATATTTGTATTATAGACAGGAGGACATGGTCAAATTATCATGAACTCACGCGCATGCACGTACGCTTCGCTCTGATTGGCTGAAACAAAAATCTCGGTATCTTATTCGTTTTTTGACAAAATACTTTGAAATTTACAACATAGTCATGCATTTAGATATCCTACGATATGGTATAAAATAATTTTCATGAAATCGCGCGCATGCACGTGCGCTGCAATCTGATTGGCTAAGACTTTAAATGGCTATAACTCCCTTGGTTTTCAGCCAAGCAGGATTGGATTTAGAACATAGATAGTCTTAATGGACCCCTACAATAGGGATGGTCATCATGCACATGCATGCACGTGTGTGCACGTGCAATACATATAATAAGAAATGCACTTGATTTAGCGTATTTTCAAATACTTTTTGATTAAATGCCTTGATATAAAGTACATTGAAATAAATTAATGGTGTAGATACAATGATATGGTCATTTCGCATATGCGTGCAAGTGTGCGCACGTGCAATGCAAAAATTTGCTATATACTTGGTATACTTTAGGGAAAACGTTGTTTAAGTTTACGATGCATAGAGTTTAGTTTATTTGATGAAGCTTAGAGGGAATGAAGCACCAAAGTGAAGTTGGGGAGCATTTGGGGAACATCTGTAGCGGTTTCCGTTACAATTAGCACTAGTTTTCACTGAATTTAGTTTAAATTAATCAATAATTGCAAAATACCGTTACATGTACACAACACATGTTACCATATATTTTTTAAAGATGTAAGCTGAAAAAAATATAAGTTCTGCATGCATCAGATTTAAAAATTCGAAAAGAGCTATACGAGTATGCAGTATATTGCAAATTTTTGCCCCAACAAAAGTCTTTTAAAAATTTGCTGAATTGTATAAATTGCACGAGAAATATCAAGTAAAAAACAGCTTCAAAGTAGGTTATTGCCAATTTTTGTTTTTATCATAAAATAATTATGACCTCAAAAAGAGGATAAAATGGCCAAATTGTTAACAATTTTAGCAATAAAATTTATAAAGCGCAGGTCTGCTCAAGAACAATTTTTGCATATTTCATTGATATTATCATTCTACACATTATATAAAAATCTTGAGCTTGAGCAGACCTGTGCTCGGTGACATTTACTCAAAATATCGAAGTAATATATATCTTTTTCTGTAGCAATCATAGTAATTTTTAATTCATGACATGTCATTTTCCTGACATCATTTCAAACATATGAAGTCATTTCTTTTGAAAATATTCAATGCTTTGAAGTCTGCAGATATATCACTGTTTTAGGACATAATTATATATTTCCTCGTCAAGGTTTGCTTTTGGGGGCAAATACTAGAATAAAGTCCTTTATATTTTTGATTTTATAATGGAAATTATACGAAAACTTGTCCAAATACATCATTATGATGTTGAAAGCTAAAAATATTTGCATCTCTCTAAATACATTTGAATTGTGAATATTAGGGAATACATTCTACACACGGCACTTGTTTCGGGAATAAAATTTAACCCATTCTATAATAATAAAACAAGGTATCTAATTCCAAATTACATGGAGTACCCCTCCCTTAGAATCGTGCTCATTTACACTTTCAGAGAAATGGCAGTGGCAAACTGTTTATACCTATGTCATCTACGATAATTTATCTACACAACCATATATGGCTTGTTTGTTGTTTGTTTTCTTTAATCTCCGTAAACAGCGCCCAAACTCCACTCGCCGAGTGGAAAAGTCGAACTAACCATAAAACGGTATGTGCTAATCTCGGTCAATAGAAAAATTTAAGAATGTGTGGGTTCAAAAATTCAACTCCAGATTTTAAATATTGTATTGAATAAATAAAATTTCATAGTGTCTTATTTTCCATAAAAAGTAACATAAATACAAGGTATGGTTCCTTTTCATTTAAATGAAATTAGTTCAGATCAGATTAAGAATTTTTTCAGAATATTTTATTATGTAAAATTATTTCATGTACAAATGTTATATGTAAATATATAATATAAATAAACTTACCTGCTGTTCCATTATACCCTGACACACTGAGATTGTATTTACTATCTTCATCATTGATATAAAATGTGGAAAAGTGAGCATATGCTTTAGCGCCATTAAATCTTTGTAGCTCCACCCGGAGCTCTTGGTCTTTGTTCTTTGTCAGCTCATAAATTGCGTCATTCCCTTTGGAACAAATATAAAAACTCTTAGTGTATCATATTATGGCACTGTTGATTCTTTGTTCTTTGTCAGCTTATATAAATTGCGGAATTTCCTTTGAAACAAATATCATTACACATATAATATTATATCAAGGCAGTGATGACCCTCAAAAGTTTCTCGTCAATATTCGACAAACGTGTATTGTAGACTTGTGAATTGTTTTTATGCGCCCGGATAGATAGATCCGGGGAGTATATTGTTTTTCTCCTGTCTGTTTGTCTGTCTGTGTCATCTTTAACTTCCGCCATAACTTTTGAACCATGAGGGATAGAGACTTCATATTTAGTATACATACTCCACTTATTAGTTTTTTTTTCAAATGATACCAAGGACCTTGTGACTTTGACTGTGACCTATATGCTACAAAAACTTTTTCGATCTTTCTCAATAAGAAAGAAACTTCGTATTCGGCAAACACACTCTAAGTTCTTTCAAATGACACCAAGGTCAATGACCTTATGACCTTGACTGAGTCCTTTATGCTAAAAATAGCCACCGGGTGAATAGTGTTTCACAAACACATCTTGATGTGTTTTATTCTTAGCGCGGCAATATAGATTCCGGAAAACAAAGTTTACAATAACAAAAATTAATATACCATTCATCGATAAACATATAATCAAAGCACTGATTGTTGGAAACTAGATAAAAGGATGTCAGAATTATCTACTTACATGCATGTATGCAGACTATGTAACTGATACGATTGCAAATTTGGATTTACAAACTTACAAGATGGGTTTTGATTACGATTACCCTCCAAACCTCCCGTCTTTGTGGCTCTTAATAACTACATGATACCCAATAACAATAGAATCATTGAATGGCATATATTTATTTTGAATATAAATAGAGTTCTTTTTCTTAAATCCAAAGGCGCAAAAGATCAGCACTATTACGTTAGGGGTGTATGTGTCAGATTTAATCATAAAATTTTACTTATGTTGTTAATTTTATCCAGAAATTTAATTTATGCAGTGAGTGAGAAAGTGAGAGCGAATGGCGTGTAGAAAAGAAAAAGTGTACGTACTTCATACTGTAATATGTTTGTATTAAGATGAAAATCTATTTTTTTTCTTAAAGGTTAGAAATGTATGCAGAAGGTAACGAATAAAACGCACCTGATACACACAGAAATATTTATATATTTTTATTTTATGAGTCTTTATTATAAAGTTGGGGATGAATTATATATAAATAGGCATGTACTTAGTATCCTAGATGTATTATAGAAGAACATGCAATAAATATGTAGTTATTACAGTTGTACGTTTGAAAAACCATGGTTGTCCCAAAAGGGGTCTACTCAATGATGAATTTTTACAACTTGTTTTCTGTATAAGAAATGTTATAAATAATGTGTTTTTTTTTCTTCATTTTTCAGCACTGTATATTAGATCAATATTCAAGATGTTTAAAACAATAGTTTAATACAATTTTGCTTGTGATTAAAATATGAAAATACGCAACCCTAAGTTAAATACAAATGTATCTTTCTCCTTGTTAAGTTTTTCTGTACAGATATCAGACCTGGAGAGTTATCTAAGAGAAAATTTCCAAAAATACTGACAAGTATGAAAGGTATCGCATTTAACGTAAAAAAATGGTAAAGATTATAGTTGTTTAGAATAGAAAAACCCTGATTATAATGTCCATATTTATCAAAGCCGACATCGACGTTGTGATTTTTATAGAAACCTTAAAATTTAAATGTTACATAAACTAAACTTACCAATCCAGTAGTCTTTAGAAGGATTTCCGAATCCTTGTTTATATTCTGACCACGTCCTGTAAAAATCTGTAGAACCTTCTTGTCTTCTTTGTATAGCCTGAAGCATTGAAGGTTATCTCTTAGATTTTTTTTACGTGACGTAGGCTTCAGAAAGAAAAATTTACAATCGAGAAACAATATTGGAGAAAAAACATGCAAATCTCCTTATAGTAACAGGAAAGTAGATTTAGTATTTGCAGAACACGTGACTAATTAAACATACCGTCCAACCTCCCCCTTCTGTTGTCATATCACAGTACGCAAGCTTTGTCTTAGATGTAATATTAAGTTGATAAACCCCGTTGTGTCCTTGCAGACTCGGCTTATTCTGTAAAATGGTCCAGCAATCCTGTGCTGTTTGAAAAAATACAAGTTCACATTATAAAAAGTTAGGATTCAGATATACATGAACACTTTTTGAGCAGACAGCTATCGGAATTTATATCATCAGGACATAAATATTTCCTTACTAATATGACCAATTACAGCTCTGCTGTTCTAAAAACGATCTTTAGATTTTCACCCTAATGTGGCCACGCCCTACCCCCGGATCATGAATTGAACAATTAAGAATCCTTACTTCGATGAAAAGATTTTTTTATCTATATATTACAATGTAAAAATTTGATTACCTATCGTGGCCCGCCCTACCCAAGGGTCATGGTTTGACAATGTCGAATATCCTATATATAGCTCTGGATCCACCTGAGTTTCAGCTTTCCTGGTCCAAAGGTTTTTGGGGAGATTTTTTTACCCTTTTTATTTCAATTTAAAATTTGGATTCCCAATTGTGGCCCCGCAATGTAATGTTCAAGGGTAAACTTGTTTGAAAAACAGAACCCTGTGGTTCGTTTATATTTTTAATGCTGAACTCTAAATGCGTTGAGGCTTTTCTTTTTTAATCTTTAACTCCATCGCCTCACTTGTCAAATATTTATACTTTCCCAGGATATCATATCAGCTCTACTATTTTAATTTGTATCTTTGTTAATCTCTGTATCATTTTTTTATATTTCAATGTAAAAATGTGTTTACTATTGTGATCCTTTCCCAGAAAAAGATTTTCCTTACCTATGTAAAACTTTGAATCTCCCATTATGGCCTCAATCGGGGGCAAGATTTGAACAAAATAGAAATTACACTACCTGAGGATGCTTCCACATAAATATGGCTTTGCTGTTCTTGAGAAGAAGATTTTTAAAGATTTTTTAAAATAATTATTTCTATGTAAAACTTGAATCGCCAATTGGGGTCCCGTCCTTCCCCCAGAAAGAAAATTTTAATCTACACTAGTATTTGAGGATGCTTCCATATGAGTGCGACAAACAATGGCTTTGCTGTTCCCGAGAAAAAGATTTTTCTTATATATTCTAATGATAGGTCTTTGCTTGTCCATTATGGTCCGACCCTATTCTCGGAGGGAGTCATGTTTGAACAAACTTGATTCTACACTTCCCGAGGATACTTCAACATACATATAAGCAATCTTTGCTGTTCTTGAAAAGATCTTCCCACATATTTCTATCTAAAATTTTGATCGAATATTTTGGTTCCACCCTTCCTACAAATTTATGATACGCAGAACAATTATCTATTTTAAAAAATACTAGTGTTGTCAGATTCAGATGCCCCTTGCATTTACTGCTAGATTTTATAGTTTGGACCAATCAATTGAGATTATACCTACATGTATCACGTTGGTTAATATACTCTAGCCATTTTTCTTTGAAAAAAAAGCCATTTTACAACAGCCATCTCTTCCCACCACCCTTTTTGGTGATTCTTACAATTTTACCATTTACTTGTAATTTGTTTGATAATAAAGAATGTAAAAATTAATTCATGGGTTAATTTGGTGCACTGGCTTTTTTGTGCACAATCTTTTCGTTTTTTAAGAGTTTTTTACCATTATATTATTGGTGGCTGGACTGATTTTTTTGTCATGTGATTAAGAAGATATATGTCATGTGATTAGTCTGTATGTTTAACAAGTCAATTTTTCATTAACTGAATATTTTTTAAGCCCAATCAATTAACTGTTATATAGGTTTCTGAATACGTAATGTAGATTTAATCATTTTTAATCAATTCAATAAATGACATTTTCACGCATGTGTGTTTAAATAATTTAAACAAAAGATGAAGCAAAAACAAGCCGGAATTGTCATCTCTCATTACAAAAAAAATGTGGATATATATTACTTTTAGTTGATTAATTTCGTGATAATGATTTCCATGATATATACATAAAAAGGGATCCATGTGTTCACTTTAAACCTTACAACAATATGTAAGTACTGGACACTGTCACACCACTAATTAGATAATCAAATGAATAATAAATTTTAATAGATACACTCTTCACACCTTTAAGGTAATCCAAGAGAAGTGTCTATTAATTTTGTTTTAAATCATAATTCATTCTATTTGCTTATTTGCAAGATGACATGCATCTTACTCATGTACATGTATTAGAACTATTTTATTGCTGGTCAACTGTACAAATTTGATTCTATTTCTTATAAAACCTGCCACATTTGCTCTCATTTAATGATTGTATATTGAATATTCGAATTATGAATTTATATTCGAATATCAAGAAGGATATGGAGATAACGAACAGTATTCAATCTCAAGGTCCATAAAACAATACAAAATAAAAGCAGAGCAAACACGGACCCCCGAAACATCAGAGGTGGGATCAGGTGCCATGGAGAAGTGAGCATCCTCTGCCGACCGGTCACACCCGCCGTGTGCTCCTTGTCATGATCAGGAAATAACGGAAAAAATCCGTCGTCAATTCAGTGTATAAATAATGGACTAACAATTCGTATGAAAAACGTCAGTCAGCATTTGACTCAATGATAATGACCTTGTTTTTGCTGACAAGGTCATTGCATCGACTATAGAACTTACGAAATGATGACTTTAAACGAGACTGCTGATATTCTTGTTTCATCAACTTGCTTGTCAATAATTTACCTCGTTCTAGAAATTTTTCATACGTAGAGCATGCTCTTGCGTATCGAATCAACTGAGATATATATACTCCGTATGCAGGTGATGAAGGTATATTGCTGCATAAGTAAGGAAAGTTGACGATGGAAAAGTTAAAGTCATCACGTTTATCATATCGCTCGGTTGTTAAATTACCATTAGTGTCTTTTTCAAGTAAAATATCCAAGTATGAAACAGAAGTGTCGGACTCTGTAGTATCTTTTATCTCAAGCGCACAAGGATATATCGTATCGACGTAGGAATGGAAATTACCATTATTAATTGACAATACATCGTCGATATATCTAAATGTCGAGTTGAAGGCCACAACAAGTGTTTTCTTCTTTTCACGCATAAGATTTTGCATAAATTCTGCTTCATATGAATATAAAAATAAGTCTGCTAATAACGGAGCGCAATTTGTACCCATAGGAATTCCAATAGATTGTTGGAATACCTTGTCTCCGATAACCACATAGATATTGTCAATCATACATAAACTCAAGCATCTTCTTGATGTCAACTTCAGAGTACTTATGTGTGCAATCAGAATCTGTTTTAACAAAATAATTTTGAAAATGACCAATGACAAGGTAAGTTAATTTACGAGTTCCATTCGAATGATTATTCGAATATTCAATGACATCCCTAGTTAAAATCATGTGCCCCGGGGTAGGGTTAGGGACACAATAGGGAATCGATTATTTACATTTACACATAAAAGACAAATCTTTTAAAAATCTTCTTCTAAAGAACCACTAAGGCAAGATAATCTTAGACTTTTGTGGAAGCATCCTGGGGTAGTGTAGATTTTAAGTTGTTTAACTGAAGACCCCTGTGTGTAAGGTTGGGCCACAAAAGGGAATCCAAGTGTTGCATTGAAATATATTGGAAAAATCTTTAAAAATCTTCTTTTCAAGACCACTGGACCAGATATTCTGAAACTAATGTGGAAGCATTTTGAGCGATGTAGTAAAGAGGCTTCTTATTTAAAGCTGAATTTCAAGAAAATCTTGTTCAAATTCATTTTTTTCAAACAAACCGATAAGATACTTATTTCAATATGGTTATCTGTTCTGATTGATCTGATTAGGATCTTTCTAAATTTTCCTCCTTTTCTTGTTTGTTTGGTATGGTCTGCATGGTTTTTTTTTTTTTTTTTTTTTTGAAAATTGAAAGAATCACATGTTTTCGTCTCCATTTCTTAAGTCCAACATGGGCAGGGACCATGAAGATCACAATTCGTCCTTTTCTTTGCCTGTTAATGCTTTGTATCACAATTGTCTGAACAAATGAGGAAACTGATAATATTTAGGAGCAATGCACAACAGACAGCCTGGCATATGAAAAAAGACACATTTAGCGATAAGTCATCATTTAACCTGAATAATTCAGGCGAACTTGAGAAAAGAAATACCTGGTGCTGTAGAACATTGATGTGACTGAGAAGTCCACGTCCCATTAGGTAAGCATGTAGAGACAAGAGAAGAATAAGGGGGCATAATACACTTATAGTTCAGAACTGTACCGACTCTTGTTGAATTCACAAACACAGTGGTGTTCTGATTGTCTGGATGTTCACCAGGGCAATCTGTTTGAACAAAACTTGATTTGATTAACTAATATTATATACAATAATTCTTGTAAACACATTCACAATTAATATTGTAGGAAAATAACCAAAAAATCAATGTATTGTAATAAAATTGGTGTTCTTTTTTATATCAAAGTTATGTCAATCGGTTATAATTATCAGCCAATACGGATTTTACCTTTCGTAATTCGATTTTTATCATACAATATATCTTTATAAGATGAATCAGAAAATGTCGAAAAATATACAGAGTCACTGTAGATATCTTCAATATTAAGAATATCTGGAGTTAAAATCACTGTTTAAATAAAATAATTTCACTTGCCTGTGTACGTTTTGTGAATTATGTACACCGGAATATACATTTTTTGTGCTTTCATACGAGGGCTGTTCAATGAATAATGCCCTGAAATCTATATTTACAATGTTAAAATCATTAATTTGTAATTAATGTTATTACCATTAATATGTAATTAATCTCTCATGATTTATTCTTTAATTAATTGATTACAGTCTATCTGACCACTTTTCATCTCAAAGTTTCCAGACACTGCATTAAAATGGAATGTTAATTAAAGAGTCAGTAAACAGGAGTAAAAATAAACGCTTCGTGAAAGCTGTTGTAAAATCCATAAGAATTCAAAAGAAATATTCAGTGAAATATGTGAAATTTACAGCAACCAGTGTCTGTTTTATAGACACATAAGCATGTGGACTTTAATGAACAAAAATGATAGATGTATAATGGGCTTCAAAAATGGGTACCTTCCTTGGCGACAAAGACTTACAATAATCATGCAATGTACTGATTGCAAAAATTCGAAAACTATTATTGATGATGTTTTATTGACTTTAAAACTCGTAGCAAAATTGTTAGGCATAATTTTGGGGGTAGTTTACACTGTTTTCAAGAAACATTTGACATAAAAAAGGCTTAGTACTCAATGGTCATCCTATGTTTTGAAAAATGAATGAAAACGACAGTGTGGAAGAATATCTAAAAAAATATATTTTAAAGATCAAAAATTAAAGTTATCTAGTGAAATTCAAACGGATGAAATTCAAACGGATAGTGAAAATTGAATCTACTACTTTAAACCCTCAAAACAAATTTACATTGAGATGCAGTTGACAAAGTTAGACAAGGTCTTCAACGGGGCAAAGAATTTTAAAGGCACAAAAATATTTTCTAATGCCATTTTCTTAAATATCAGTAATCTTGTTTTCAAATTCTTATTCGGGGAGGCAGATCAATTTTTGGAGAAGTCTAGAAAGCAAATATTTTGCAAAAAAAAATCGAAAGGTTTATGAGAGGATGGAGCCAGACCACTACACACGAAGAGTAAGGTAGTTTTGGGAATAAACAGAAAGTTAATGTTTTGTCACCCCAACAATATTCGCCAGATCTTTCACTCTTTGATTTGTTTCATTTTCCAAACTTAAAAAAAAACACTTTTTAGAAAGAAGAAACAAGTCAAGGAAATCATATGATCTGACATATTCCAGTATGCGAAGGGATTTACTAAAAATGTGTTCTTCAAACTATCAAAAATCTGATAAAAATGTTACGGACATGTGTTTTAATTTAAAGAGAATATTTAAGTGAATTGATTTAGGCTAAATCCTTGAAAAGCGTTTTTTTTCGAGCACCAAGAACATTATCTATTGAACAGCCTTATGGCGTGTCACTTGAGAGTTGAATCTCTTGCTTTTCGTCTGAAGACATTTCCAACCACTAGAATTACACAAATGTAAATTCTCTCAGGTACTTCTTGGTCATTTAAGCGCAAAATCGGATAAAATCGGTGAACAATAAATATACTGAACAAAGGTATGCGCTCTCTATACATGATTATCATATTAAAACCATGAGCTGTAATGGGGTACGAGAGTCATACCCCCTGACGTGATGATAGCTTCTTACATATACATTGGTCAATGTATATTTTACAGCTGATATAGACCGTGTCTTCTTATTGCGTTTCACATTTGTAATTTTTTTGTTTTTTTTTTTAATTTAGCTATTACTTAAGCTATATATAAATTTCAAAGGTTCCAGACTGCACATAAGCAAATCATAATTCACAAAGGAAAACATATACTACTGTATTAAAAGTTTTGTGTAACATATCTGTAGTTGCGTTTGGAACAATATTGACTTTAAGTAGTACACGAATGTTACTACCGAAGTGCATATATAATTATTTATGTTCCTCTGTTACATGTTAAATTTTGCAAGACCGAAGCCAAGTCAACTGAGCTAGTTTTTTGATGAAATAAAATTAAAATAACAACAGTAGCGAAAGTGAAAAAATGTCATTTATTGAAGTAAATGACACAAAACAAAATATCAACATATTATAAGGGTGTCAGATTATATATATCAGTCTCAAATAAGCTTACCAGTTATCATACAAGCTGGACCTGAAGCTGTAATCACACATTTGCTACCCGATGAACAAGATTCGTTACATTCTTTAAAGTATCTCTGTAAAATAAATGTGTAAACTGAATAATATTTAACGCCCTGGTATTCAGTTGTCATGAAAGATTGATTAATTGATTGATTGTATACTGTTTAACGTCCCTCTCCAGAATATTTCACTGATATGGAGACGTCACCATTGCCGGTAAAAGGGCTGCAAATTTAGGCCTATGCTCGGCACTCAGGGCTATTGAGCAGGGAGGGGTCTTTATCGTGCCACACCTGCTGTGACACGGAGCCTCGGTTTATACGGTCTCATCCGAAGGACCGTCCCATTTCGTCGCCTTTTAGGACAAGCAAGGGGTACTGAGGACCTATTCTAACCCGGATCCTCACGGGGATTATCATGAAAGAAAAATGAAAGAAAACGGTAAAAATTTCAAAGAGCGTTCACATGTTGTTTACGTTTTTCTCCACAACAAACCTTGATCTCTATAGCTTTTTTAAGAAAAATTCATGCATTATAAAATTTCAGCAATTTTGCACCAGAAAATTCATTGCTGAGCATCCATATTGAAATACTAGTAGATACCCATTAAGATTTGAATCATTACTATTATATAGTTCTATAATTATTATATATATATTTATGAATTGTTTATTGTTTTCATTTGAGCTCTTTAATTCTTTATTTGGAAATCACAGTCAATTTATTTAAATTTCTTCTTCTTTGACCAATTGCATCATTTTTGTGACAATAAAATTAAAATGAACAAAATATTGTGAAGTAAAAAAAAATTAATCTATTTTCAAAAAATTAACAAAAAAATTAAATGAATATCATATAAACTGAACGTTGTGTTTTACCTGTGGTTTCTTCATTTTTTCAGCATATGTATATTCTGAGTCGTGAAGGAGGTCCCCTGGATGTGACTCTACATCAGAGGATGACAATTCACATGTTAATGTATTCTGTCGAAAATTTAGGGATTTACAAATTGTTCTGACCGAACACTCCCTCAAACACATCTTAAAACCAAGTGGTGAAAGTTCGTCCATGATATGTTCTTTGAGGCGCTTGTTTGGAGTTGTGAGGAGTCCATCTTCCATAGAAATACTGGCAATGTATGCATATATTATATATACGTGTATGATGTTTATACCATTCATTGTTAATAAATTTTCACAAGACTTAACCTAACCATCTCGAACTCCCCTCTCAATTTCACCGAGAAAGAAAATTTGCATGACTATTTATTTGTGCTTATATTGATTTTTTAATGTTGTTCAATAACAAGGAATTTCTGATGTATAGATCCAAACTTGGTTCTCTGTATTTGGCATCATTTATCAAATTATAAACTTCACAATAATTTCTTCAAATTTCTTTAAATTTAGTTACCAGTTCTTTATACCGTAATTAATATATAATTCATCAGTTTTGTTGTATTGTAAAACACATTTTACTCAGTTACAATCTAAACACTACGTCATGAAATCTCAATAAATAAGTCTCTGATTATTTTAAAGAAACAAATTGTTTAACTTTCCTCATGATTTTAACCTAGCTACCCTAATCTAATAGCTCTATATTTATAAGTTAAGTTGAAACTTAAGGTGAAAAATATAGATGACTAACGAAAATTCAACTCAAAATCTAAATCATCTATTCTGGCCATGTGAAAAAGAGGAATGGACTCTGCTATACGTCAATGTATATTCAAATGAGTATAAACTTCACCTTTGACAATAGAGATTGTATTAACTTTTTAAAGACCTTTACAACCTCCTGTCGAATACAATGCGTTTGGCAAAAAATACCATTTGCTTGAAGTTTTACTTGATATTTTTTGCAATGTTAAATTGCTTTTTTTGATTCTTAATCATTATACTTTATATGAATTATATATAATTATATACTTTTGTCTGCATTGAAACATTTATTATAATTTATCAGAATATACGAGGGTTGTTCGAATAGTTAGAAGACAGATGCGATAACAGTAATACTATGAAGTTTATGCTTACATATATTCTAAGGACTATAAAACAACAAAAGTTACAAAAATGTTGGAAATTTTAGCTTGATACTTTAAATACATTCCAAATTATTATAAAATAAAGACATTATTTGTTCACCCGACACAGTCGCAATTTAGTTGCATGACGTCATTGTTTCTGAATGTCCACATTCTCTACCTCATACACCTAAATTGATGGGATTCATTGGAGTTAAGTAAAGATTCGAACTCGTTATATAATTTTAATGAATAGCTGATTTCAATGCATGATATTGAAAATAGATCTACGCAAGTTGAAAGATTCTAACTTTATTATAACAGCATATTTGCCTGTTGGTGTTCCACATTTATCACGTATGAATAACGTCACTTTTCTACGTGACAAACTTTGAACACCCTTACTAAAAACTGACATTAACTTTTACATTCCTCATACCTCTAATCTTTTTCGGTATTTAAATACAAGTACTTTTTTTCTTTATTGAAAGCATATGCTATATACAACATATTGGATATAAATTATAACATACATCACAATTAATGTTTTTATGATCATATCAGAGTAGATATATTGCTTCTATAGAGAAGAAAAGAAAAATACTAGTATATAAATATATTATACGTATCATAGATATATAGCAAGCATTTTGCTTACTTTTATAATAATTAATTTCTAACTTCACAAATTTATCTGTTCAATTTAATGCAATTATTTTAAGAGCACATATAAACTGATGCAAAAGACATAAAATGTATTACAAAGGGGAAAATATATATATAGAATCCAGGTAGCAAAGGGAGTCCTATTCAACATCAGCACTGTCCATAATGAGGACCCCTAGCTACCACACATGAAGACTGGTTTCTTCATGTGTTGGATAGGCAATTGTCTAAATCACATTTTTTTAAAATATTTTTTTCACAAACAATTTGCTAAATCATCATACAAGTTGTTTCTTATTTTACCAGTTTTTTTCACAATAGCGTTATGTAAAACAAGCCAGTTTTTAACATATGATTTCAAATTTTCTTCTGACATTCTTTCATTATTGAACCGACTCTTCATTTTATATTTACAGATTGTAAAACAAATAAATGAGAGGAGATTAATCAAAATACATGTTTTCTCTGATAAATTACCATAAAACCCCAACAAGATACGTTTTCCATGAAGCGTTAAATTTTAAAAATATACACATTTTTTCCACAAGGAAGATGTAATTTTACAAGAAAATAAAAGATGTTCACTATATTCGGATACATTACATAACTCACATATTGGTGATACATGTTTATTCCATTTACTAACACTTATATTAGTATTTAAAAGACAATTAAGCAGTTTGTAATTGAATTCTGCAATCTTTTTGTCATACATATTACAAATTTTTGAAATGTATATATTCTTCCATAATGATTTATCATCTATGTTAAAATATTTATTCCACTTATTCTCACATATTGGATTCTGAAATTTGGATTGAACTAAAACCTAATAAAAAAATCACTTTTAAAAGATTTGATCGACTTAAAACAATTGTTTCTAAACAAAAACGAATCATTCTTATGAATGTTAATATAATTGGCATAAGAACAATCAAGCCTTGATTTAAAAGGTCTTAGTGTCTTTTTTAGCATAATATATTCACAGTAAATATTGTTTTTACTTTTTAATTTATCCCAAAAGTAATCTATTTGCATGTATTTCACCGTTTTCATCAAAAAGATCTTTTACATATAATATACCACTCTTGATCCATTGTTCATAACATAATGTTTTAGAATCATACCGGAATAAATTATTGTGCCAGTTTTTTTTTTTTTTTTTTTTTTTGCACTTATTAAACATTGAAAATACTTCAATATAAAACTGTGGGAAATTAGTCAATTTTCAGAATTTTGTATCATTCAAATTGCAAGTCGTTGTTTTAATGATATCATTTATAGATAAATTACTTTTTTCAAATAGACTATTTAAAGTAAAGTGTGTGATTGTATCTTTATCGAATATTCTTCTTACCCACGAAGCTTTCGCAGCAGAAAATTTACTTTTAATATCAACTGTTCCTATTCCTTGTTCAACTTTACCAATCAATGTATTTCGTTTAATTCTCTCTCTTTTCTTCCATAGAAAGTTAAAAAAGATTTTAAAGATGATTTTTGAAACCCTTTTAAAGAATTCTTTTTCTGGATTAGGTAAAGATTTTTTCCAGTTTTTCAAGTTTACTTAGCCATTTTTTTTTTCATAACACACGTCTTTATTATGATAATTATTATAAGTATATTCTAAGAGGTTTAAAGCTTTAAGTTGCGATTTTTACACCATATAGGTCATTATTGTTGCAATACTCATCAATTAAGGAACCAGTTAAGATACATTCAGTTTTAGAAAAATTATGTTTCGGACCAGCAACTGTACTAAAATGGTGAATAATATTAAGAGTAGTTGCCAATGAGTTGATGTCTTTTAATGCATTTGTGCAGTCATCAGCATGTTGGACTATCTTGATATTTTTTGAGATATTCTCATTAAATGATAGGCCATGTATATTTTATACTTGTATAAATAGAAGTACTTTGAATGCATTTTATTTTTCAATGGCCAATTTAAATATTTCCTTGGTCTATGCCAGTTTTTCCTGAAGTGAAACTTTGTATCATGTTAAAAAACGAACCCCCCTTTTCTGACGTCATTACAACTCATGAATTGTTTGGACATTTCATATTAAATTTACTATGAAATTTCATCGAACCAACAGAATGAGGCTAAAATTGCAAATTTTAATATATAATATTGTAATACCGCTTGATTGAATTAAAGGCATTTTTGGATGACAAATTAATGCTCATATAAAAAAAAAATTCTCAGTTACACTTTGGTAGAAAACACGTATTTCTTCAAGGCTGTGTCGAAGATGATGCTTTTTAAACTTTAAAAAATTCATTGCAGTATCTTTTAAGACCAGAGAGAGCACTCGCGGACAAAATTCGTCGCTATTTGCGGGTTTCCAAGGCAACGGTAACCATTTTGAAACTGAATGACCACACAACACAACTACAACCAGTGATCCTCCTTTGAGGAAAGTTTCAGGAAGATTGTCCCAGCCATCTCTGAGAAACAGCCTGGAGAAAAAAAAACATGCGACCAATTGCAATATGTCGTCCCGTCTTCGTTCGGGGCGTTATGCCGTCCCGAACGAAGTCGGGGACGACATATTGCGATTGTACGCATGTTTTTGTTTTCCAGGCTGTTCCTCGGAAATGGCTGGGACAATATTCTTGAATCTGAAAATTTATATTTATAATAGCTTAACATGCTTAAGTAATAGTTAAATTTAAAAGAAAGCCAAAAAAAAAAATACAAATGTGCAATGCAATAAGAAGACACGGTCTACATCTGTAAAATATACATTGACCATATTGTATATGTGTATAAGTCAGGTGGTTTGACTCTCGTACCCATTACAACTGGTTTTAATAGGATAATCATGTATAGAGAGCGCATATCTTTATTCATTAGAATTATTGTTCATCAATTTTATCCAATTTTGCGCTTCATTGACCAAGAATTACCAGATAGAATTTACATTTGTATAATTCTAATTGTTGGAAATGTCTTAGTTCAAACGAAAAGCAAGAGACTCAACTCTCAACTTACACGCAAAATATGAAAGCACAATTAATGTATATTCCGGTGTACATAATTCACAATACGTACACAAGCAAGTGAAATTACTCTGATAGAACAGTAATTTAAACTCCAAATGTTTTTAATATTGAAGATATCTACAGTGACTCTGTATATATTTCGACATTTTCTGATGCATGTTAGAAAGATATACTGTATGATAAAAATCTATTTACGAAAGTTTTAATTTGTATTGACTGCTAATTATAACCGATTGACAAAACTAAAAAAAAGAACACCAATTTTATTACAATGCATTACAATGCATTGATTTTTTTGGTTAGTTTTCATGCAATATATTAATTGTAAATGTGCTTCCAAGAATTATTGTAAATAACATTGGTTAATCAAAACAAATTTTGTTCACAGATTGCCTTAGTGAACATCCAGACACTCAAAAC